TTTTTTAATAATCATTCTTTTATGCAAAAAATTGTATTAGATTATTTTAAAAATTAATTTATCAAGAAGAAAAAGTAACAATAAGAAAAAAAATTCCTAAAAATTATCAAATTTTTTTTATATATAAATTTTTTTTAGATGTTAAAATAATTAAGATGAAAAATTTGTTGGCTCAATTTCTTGTTGCTATAATTCAAATGTATTTTTTTAAATATTATTATTTTAGTCTAAGTGATTTTTTACTTATAAATGATGTATTTGATAATACTATATTCAATATAAGTAAGTCGTTTAATTAATCGAATTATTTTTTTTATTGTTGAATATCTAATTGATATAATTAAATCGTTTAATTAATCGAATCAATTTTTTATTGTTTGCAGTCTCCCTTTGTTTCCTTATTTAATATGCTAATATCTCCTTTTATAAAATTCAAGCTATGTATTGCATGGCGCAAGACTAGTTTTTTTAAAAGTCTTGACTAGTCAAAGTGTCAATTTAAAAGACTTCTATAATCTATGGAGTACTAACTTTTTAAACAGAGTAGAAAAATAAAATTTCACCAATTGTCACAAAAGAAAAAAGTCTTGTAAATGTGTTTTCTTATGCCATTTCTTTATTCTTCTATTCTCTTCTCTTCTCTGAGCCCCAGGGCTATGATTAAAATAATAATAATAATAATAATAAATCTCTTTTCTTATATTTGTTCTTTTCTCCTTTTGCCCTTACTTTTTTCCCCATCTTTTCTCCCTATTTTCTACAGAAAAATAAATTGTAATAAATAAAAAATTCTTGTAACATTTTTTCTATGAACATTAGAGGTTTCTTTATTTTTTTTTCATCGAAAAGTGATTCAATATCATAATATTTCTTTTTGCACTTATTTATTTATATATCTAAAGGTGACTTAAAGTTCTTATATTTTTAAATTTTTCATTTGATTACATGATGGATGGGATGGTGATGGGAATGGATATGAGTATCGAACCTCCACCTTTTGGGAACTTTTCACCTGTGAGTTGTCTTTATACCAAAGTAAATTCTATTTTAAATTAAAGTATTCAAAAGTCAAATTAAGCCTATAAAAGTTTTTAAATGAAATTCTTCAAAAAAGTTTTATTTAATTCAATACAAAACTATAGGGGTCTATTTGATTGCAAGTATATAGTTTGTATGGAAAGAAAATAAATTTTAGATAATTCAATTGACTAAAACTTATTTGAATGTAAATTGTCAATTAAACGCGTTTGGTTAATTAATTTTCAATATAGAAAATATTTTACTTGTCCAATTTTTATTAATGGGTAGATGAGAGATGATGAATAAATAAGAGATAGTGAATTCCCTAGAAAAAAATCTTACTCTCCCTGAAGAAAATATTTTTCTTGATTTTGACGAAATATAGTTACATGATCAAAAGTAGGAAAAAATTTTCCATGGAAAAAACATATTTTCCATATAGAATATTAACAATTAAATGCACCCTAGAAGTCTATGAATTTCACAAAAGTTCATTACTTTTATTTAAAAAAAAAAAAAAAGGAAAACTCTATAAAAGCATAGACTGAATACATGTACTCATCAGATGTATATATAAAAATATATTTGTGAATTGTTGAGACAATATATTTTTTCGAACCTCTTGCCTAAAGAACATAATCAAACAAATCTATAAAAAAATTAAAGAATCATGTTACATTGACAAATTTGGTTTACAAACTATGTGTTGACAATATCTAGGTCAATCATTTAAAAAACGGTTTTTGAAATCAGCAAAAATCAATGACCTAAATTTTGTCAATATTTAGTTTGTAAACAAACTTTGTATAAGTAGATTAATTCAAAACTAAAAGTCAAAGTTCATAAAAATATTGGTTTTATTACATCATCTAAAATTAAAAACAGTACCCTAGGAGGAAAAAAAAAGGTCATTACATATTTTCTCATGAACCAAAAACTAGAAATTCGTAATCCAACCATCAACAGAAACAGCGACTCCTTTTCTGATAATCTCTAAGCCGATTTCAAGTTCGATAATTACGATAGATTGGTAGCTATGGTGTTATAGCGTCTGAAGAACATGAATTATTCCTCTTAGTTATAGGGTTCTGCAAGTTCAAAGGCATGATGCTTCAATAGTGTGTGATCGTGGTCATATGTAGAGAACTCTACGTCCCCAGCGAACGATAGCAAGTCCCTCCCATTCACTCCACCACTACCGCCACCGCACTGGTCACCAGTCAACCCCAAAAAATCCCGAGTCAAGCCATCGCATTTTTGCCACGTGGCAAGATTTCCGGCTGCGAATGCCAGGTATTCCGGTGGTTCGGCTGGTGTGATGGTCACTTGCCTCATAGTGCTCATATCCGACTGGGTCATGGTAGAGCTCACGTGACCAACAGAATGTGCACCTATAGTGGCTGCTTTTTGGAGCAATGCAGTGGCTGAGATGGCTGCCACGCTGGCAATGGCGGATGTTGCTGACTGTACGCTGACGTGGAAGTTCTGGAAGGGTGACGTCATTATATTCTCGTGAGATTCTTGATAAAATGGTAAAGAGATCACGGGAATGTGGGTGGTTTCAGGTTTAATATGGAGTTGGTTTTGGCTAGGGTTAGGATTAGGGTTTTGAGGTGGGTTCCAAGGGTTTAGAGGGCTATGGGGTGGTGGGTTTTGGAGGTGGCGCTGTTGGTCTGAGAAGAGGTATAAAGGTGGAGGAGGACTTTGTGGGCGGAGATGGAAAGGTTGGCCATTAGGGTTTGATAGTGGTGGTGGTGCCCCTGCGGTGAGTATGGAGTTTGCCGAGATTCTTGCAGTTTCTTCAGCTAAAGCATCACAGAATGCTCTGTGGGTTATGAAGCTATCCTTCCTACAAAAATTGACACAGAACAACAGAATTATTTTCATGAAAAAGAACGTATTAACAGTATAATATTGCTTTTCATGAATAGAACAGACAAAATTGCAAATATTTGGGACCATAATCATTATTTTCTACTCAGTTGAATCAAAAAAGAAATATCGTTGTTATAATTTCGGTAACTAACAACATTATTAACGCTTCAAATCACAATCAAATTTCAAAACTACATAAATATCAATATTCTAAAAGGCGTAAGACGTGAAAGTTAAGCCTTAAGTTTTGCGAACCCAGGCGTGCTTTTGATGCCTAGATGTAATAAGGTATCGCCTATTTTAATTATTGCAGATCAATAAATAAAATAATGCATATTTTTTAAATTTATAAGAAATTCATACATATTTCTCAAGTCATGTCCAACAAAAATGTAATTCTCAAAACCATAAGTACTCCAAATTTATAATGCTTTGTTTGTGAGCAAAGCGGACCATTTTTTTTTTCTTTTTATGTTTTTGCAATGGTTGAGCAGTTTTTTCTAAATTGTACTTCAAGACAGGAAAATACTACTAGCCAAAATAAAAAGGAGCATGCCTTAATCCGCACGGGCTCACGAGCTGTCTGTATATTATTCTGCCTAAGCACGAGAAGAGTGCAGAACCCAAAGCCTAGGGAGGCCTTTTAGAATATCAACTAATATTAAAAATTGAAATAAGAATAAATATATAGTACATATAAACCTCCTTATGGATTTAATATATAAATTAGGTTATAAATTCAATCAAAGTCAAACATTTTAAGCCTCCGTTTGTTTTCCATTCTTTCTAAATTAAAATAAAAAATATGATCGTTATTCATCACATCAAACTACTAAATTTGAATTTTTATCTTTTGTGTGGAGTTCATAACGACTATATTTTTCATTCTTATTTCTGCAAAAATGGAAAACAAACGCCCCCTTAAATATTATTCATTATTATTCACACATTTTTATGAAACTTCTTCTTTATAATTTTGCCAAATGGAGACTGAAGAATAAAAATCAAAGAACCATATATCCTTGCACGCTTGCCCATTTGGACAGTACAATATTGTGACAAGTTAGAGAAACAGTAGGTACGTACTTGTGTGTGATCCTTTTGTATCTAAAAGATGCCATAATAAAGTACTAAAGATGTCACATTGCGTAATGTGTATGTGGGGACTGATAGTCGCGTAATGTTCGTGCATGCAGTGAGAGTACAAATATATGTAAAAGTGTGTACAAATTCCCGTGTCATAATGATTAAAACTTCTAGAAAATAAAGCTCATGCAATAAACGAAGATAAGTATGTTCAATTTCAACTTAAAATCAGAACTTGTAATGCTCTGAATGATGAGAGGCAAAGAAAACGAATCCACATACCAGATAATTGTGCAGTTTATCAGTTTTTTTATGACATATTTTCAGATTTTTTACAGGGATTCTACCATGAATACCCAAAAGTATTCCAACTTCTATAACGTTTAAATTGACCGATAGACACCCCTCTACTGTGTAATGAGCAAGATTTTATCGTAATTTTAATAACATACACGAAGATTCGACCGACAACTTTAGACTTGACGGTGCAATGACAAATGTTTGAACATAAGCTTAAGACTTGGACAGTACTGTAATAAAAAATGATGCTCTACTGAAGATTGGACTATATTATAGAACAAAATTTTAGCTCTTTATAATCCTTATCGTAGACTCTACCCTCCCAAAACAAGCTAATGATCAGGTTTGTGGTTCTCCTCCACAATCCAAAGATAAAAGTAGTTCAGCTTAACTACTAGTTATTGCTATCCATGAATCTTGAATAGAGGAAAAAGCTAAGAATTTTGGCGTTTAGGCTAATTTCTGTACAACATTAAAAGAAAAAAAATAAAAATTCTAATATGCTTTCGCTGATTGCTTTTCTGAGAAACTCCACATAAATAATTGAGGTATCTCTTTTCCAAACTCTCTCAAACCTCCTTGCAATCAGAAATACCAAAAAGAAAGCAGAAATTAGAATGGTTATTAATTTCTATAACACCTCCCCACTACCCAATAATTATCTCTCCTTTTGAATCTATCATGCGCCTGTACTCTATATATATAAAAAGAGAACTGTTTGAAGAAATTATAAGTAGGAAGAAACAGCTGCATGAACGTGATGATTACACTTGCAGACCAAAGTGGAAAGGGGGTGGCAAATTCAAGTATTTATTTGAAAATGGGCAAAATATATCCATAAGAAAAATTACAAGAAAAAGCTAAGGGTTATGAAAAATAAGGGGGTTGCCTGCTTGAGGAAAGAACAAAGAAGAATCCTCCCAACCCCACTTTTGTTGAATTTTTCAGGCATACAGTTCTAATTAATTAATTATTTATTTATTTCAATTAATTTTAAAAAATTAATTGGGAAAATTGCTCCATTGAACCCCAACATATTTCTCGAGTAGCAAATATTTTCCAAGGCAGTATGTTAGTCCTTGAATTTTTCTTATGTCTGCATAATTGGTCCCCGATCACATTTTAATTAAAAAAAATATATTTTGGACAATTTTCATCCTCACAAATTAACTATGCAACTATAGTGAAAGATTGAATATCAATTTGCTATTTTTCAAAGATTGGAAGTCACTTGTTACTCTAGCAATATTGGAGAAAGATATATTCATGCTTTTAAGAACTTTCTATCTTTTACTTTATTCCTGTTATGAAACACTCAAATCCTATAAAGGGGTTATGATTTGAATGGAATTACATTATTAGATGGCTGAATTTCTAAGCAGAAGGCTTGAGAGATCGAGAAATGTAAAAAGCTATATAAATGGTGGTAAAACCTAAAGGCAAAGCATTGCAACTGATAGTAGCCACTTTTCTATAGCCCCAATGCTATATAATTGAATTATAAATAACTTATAAAAAGTTCCAACAATTTAACTTTAAAGTTTATATCTTATAATCAACGCGTCTTTTTGCAAGAAGATTCAAAAATTTTTGGGTTAAAAGCTAGACACATGGACTTTTGACATTACATGACACTATCTACAACATTCAAACACAAGACATGCAGAAATTTAAAACTTTTAAGAGAGAATAAATTTATTTATTTATGTCTTATCTTCTATTACAACAAAAGTTGTAATTATTTTCTTTTCATCCAAGGAATTATCTTATTTGAGGCAGATAATGATTGAGCTAAGGGATGCTCAAGTTCTTATTCTTGATGACACTAATTATGTCTATGGAATTAACTCATAAGTTAGTGTTCACATGCCATTTTCTCAAAGTGAAATCAATAGTATATGCATTGGATTTTGACAATCTCAATATTTTTTAATTATTTGAAGATGATTTTTTCCCTTTGTTTATCTTCTTTTCTTTTTGTGTTATGCTTGATATTTTCTCATTAACATATGGTGAAAGTTTCATACCCAAAACTCCACCATAGGGATTCTAATGTCCCTTCTTTTTCATATTCCAAACGTAAATTCAAAGGTAGAGAGATGAAGCATGGCGACACTCTTAGATTACGAGGAAATTTAAGATGTGAAAAGGGCACATAGAAGATAAACTACGTTTAAAAGTATTTGAGAATATTGAAGAGGGTGCGTTCAATATATAATATATTTATCCTTGAGAATCCGAGGCGGGATTTTTTTTTTTTTTTTCATGTGAACCACTCGGTTTTTGTTTTGTATTTGAGAATATTCATGTTCTTTTTTGCTCTTGGAGATAAGGTGAGGTTGATGTTTCACATGTTACCTTTTGCAGTAAAAAGAACATATCATAATACTAACTTAATTGAGTTGAAAAAAACTATGTACACATTATAAGATGGAAATTGAAGTCAAAATTCAAGACGCATTTGGTACATTGAAGAGGACAATATCTTCTCTTCGTTCATATTAATATTTACAATCAAACGTTTCAGTAGCATGCCTTAGGATTCATCAACTTTAATAATATTTAATTAATTGTTAATTTGGATTTATTAGATCTCACATGTTTAAAAATCCGAATTTATTGGTATAGAACATTTTTATGTTCTACTCTATATGCCTAATATATGAGAGAGCCAAAAATGTTGGTTTTTACTGGAAAAAAATGTTAAGTATGCTAAGACTCAATTATATTAGATACAATTAAGAAAGAGATATTTGTGAAGCATTTATTTGGCACCGTGTCTTGTTTACATATGAAGTATATGTCACGACAACAATTGACGCGAGTGAAAGATAACAAAAAATATATATATTTTTTACCTTTTTATTTTTAATGTGTACAATGCATCCCACCATGTTCCCGTTTGATGGAGATTAAAATCTGATTTTTAGTAAATTTTGATAGAAGTTAATGAAATATATGGTTGAAAAGTCTTAGGACCCATAAAATATGCAGTAAAATAAATTGTTGATTTTGATTTTGACTTAGATTATAATTTAGCTTTTAATTGTTACCAAATAGGGGCTATATGAGCATACATCAACTTATAATTTTATCCTCGCATAAAATTGTGGCTCAATTGACAATGGACGTGACTTGATCATATTAAATCACTCGATCTAAAAATTTAGATTATTAAAGAAAAATATATGTATATGATCAGTTAAACTTTGCTTTAACAATAATATATATTGAATCGTGAAACTCCATTTTAAGACATTAAACTCGCAAAAAGAAGTAATTCAAAGACTTGTATGTTTTCATATTTAAATCAAATAAAATTTCAATATTAACAAAACAAATGGATTGTAAATTGACGAGAATATAAAACATAGATCCCAAACTCTTATAAATGAATTATAAATTTAGTCAAATCAAATATTAATTTCAACCACATATTTATAATTACTATTATTTTATCATCCTCAATTTTTGTTGAACCCATGGCTAAAAAAATTTACCTCCTTCTATTCTAAGTTTTTGTTTGAAAGAGATTATTTGAATCGAAAAATGATTTTATTGAACAATGAATTATTTAAAAGTTTAAAAAAAAAAAAAAATTGTGGGTGGGGCTCATGATGTGTTAAATTCTTTATGTGGAGAAAGTGTAATTAAAACTGAATTTGAAGAAAATGGTTTTCAAATAGAGGTGCCAAACAAACCCTAGATGTTGGGACTAAAACACTGGAGAAGTTAATGATTGCCATATCTCTGAAATTTCTACTTTTCCATTACAATAATTTTGTTTGCAATTGAGTAATATTGAAGAATATTTATATGGGTCCACTCTTTAGTTCACGGGTCTTCTATTGCCAGATTCTCTTTCAAGCACTTTCTTCTTACCATCAGTAAATTATTACTAAGGCCCATTTGGCCTCCATTATTTCAATTTATAATTTTTAAAATAGTATTTTTTGGAGAATGTGTGGTTAGAAAATAAGGAAAAATTTTAGATTTACGTATAATATTATTTTATAGAAAATTTTGTGATTGAAAATAAAAGAGAAAATTATAATTTAAAATAACGGAGGCCAAACGGGGGCTTAATATCAACCACATAGTTCATGGGATGCACAACTTTTTAACCATACATTTCATTAATTTTTTTCTAAAATGATCAGCGGCTAAGAGATAATATCATGGACACTGTCAAAGAAATTGAAGTATGTGTCTCAACAAAGATTGGAGAAGTGCTAGCAAATGAGATTGAATTTATGGACAAAGAAATAAAGGGAAAATACTAGTTGAGATATATATTTTTTATTTATCAGACATTATTATTATAGATGACAGTAACGAAGATCAAGTGACAGGAGTGTGAATTTACGATTTTGTCCTCATTAGCTCGGTAAATTATGACTAGGTTAAACAATTTGGTGATTATATTGCCACCTCATTTTTTTTTTGTTCGACCACTTATAATTGTATTAAAGTTCTCAATTTTTGTTCATTGTCACACTTATGCTCCTAAATTTTATTTCGTCTCATTCTTATCTCAAACCTTGCATTAACTACCACATATTGTCCCTAACGATGCTTGAAGTCCAAAATCTATTACAAGGACGTAAAGAGACATATTTGCTCATCATATTTCTAAATAAGAAAAAAAATATGTAAGTGTGACAAATATTTATCCTCATTTTAAAGTAAACTAAAAATATATTTGGACGGAATATGTTACTTAATGAAAAATTGAGGATAAAAATAAGAGAAAAGGAGGTTGGGTCAGAAGCACAGTAATAAGCAAAGATTAGGAACCATTGATACACTTAAACATAGAATAACGTAAGAAAAATGTAGTGATAACATAACCATTCTAAAAAAAATTTCAAAATTTACAATTTTGCTCTCATGAAGTATTTTCCTATAAATTTGGATTAGGGTTTATTATTTTTTTTGTTCCACCACTTGTAGTTGTATTAATGGTCCTCAGCTTTTGCTCATTGTTGCACAATTATGTTTTAAGTTTTTTATGTCACATTCTTATTCTCGAACTTTCATTAATTACCACATTTTATCCTAGATGACGGTTTTCGTCTAAAAAATCTGTATTAGTAAAGAAACTAATTTGCCCATCGTATTGGGATCTTCCCATGTTTAATAAACCGTAAAAAATTAGATGAGATGTCAACTTTAGTTAGAGTTCATTTTAAATGCAAAATTGTAAGCAAACCCCATCACCGTCAAAATTTGAACATTATCTCGTGAGAGGTCAGCAATGGATCACTAACTCAGCCCTATGAATAAATAGCATTATTCTTTAAAAGTATATTTTCGTGTCAACTATCTCAGCCTTTCTTTGATCTTCATGTTTGGGAGAAAATATGTTTTAAAATTGTGATTTTTGGAAAATATGTGGTTAAAAAATAAAGACAAATTTTATGTTTACATGTCAAATTATTTTATAGGAGAATGTGTGGTTAAATATCAATTTTGAGAAAAAAGGAGCTCAAATAGGGGGCATAATGTTTGTAAATAAGTGTGTAGAGAACAATGTAAAACGAAAATAATATGGAGATATGTATGAATATTAACTGACATATCCTATTGATTTGAGCACGATGACCTTTTATAACTAGAATACCTCGTTTGGTTCAACAAATACAAATTTGTAACTAAATATTTGTTTCTCTAAATTTTTTTGGACAAAATCCATCATTAGCGATAAGATATGTTAATTAGTGGAATGTTTAAGGATAAAATTCGATGCAATGATAAGGCCTAAACATGACAATAACTAAACAATAGATTTTAAATACAATTAAAATATGGTACATTAATTAAAAAATATGTGTTAATATAATCACAAATATTTTAATCTAGTTACGACAGAATACTGGTCACGATGTCATCTATATTTAATTACAAAATATATTTTGGAAAATAAGCAGCTTTCTCTTTTTTTCCTTTCAATACTTTCATTTAATTGGAAAATTAAGATCCTGTTTGGTACCTATTTTTTAAAATTCATTTTCAATCACGCATTTCATAAAATCTTAAAACTTATCAATTTTCAACCATTTATTTTATTATTATTATTATTATTATTATTTTTTTATCAAAATCTACTAAAAAATTTGACTTTTAATGAAAAAATGAGGCTAAAATTATGATATTTAAGGATTAAATTTACCAATGACCACCCAATTTTATTCTTAATGTTACCATGATTGCCCAATTTGATTTTGTTTCATCATGACCACCTAATTCTATACCTAGTGTTACCATGGTCACTCAATTTGATTTTATTATGACCATCTAATTTCATCTAATGTTTCAATATGGTCACCCAACTTCTTTTCACTAATTTTGAAAGGGGTAAAATGGTAATTTCGCATTATATAAAAAAATAAAATAAAAACTTATTTTTTTAAAAAAAATGTTTTTTAAAAAAATAGAAACTTATTTTTTATAAAAATCTTTTTAAAATAATATAAAAACTTATTAAAAATTTATTTTAGAAAAATGTTCCTTAAAAAAATCTTATTTAAAAAAAGCTTTTTTAAAATAAAATAAAAAATTATTTAAAAAAATACTTAGAAAAAAAAATAAAAAAGTATTTAAAAAAATGTTTTTTAAATAAAAAAGTTTTATTTTTATTTTTATAGTATTTTATATATAATGTTAAAATTACCATTTTATCCTTTTTAAAATTAACAAAAATGGTGAAAAGAAGTTGGGTAATCATAGGGAAACGTTATATGAAATTGGATTGTTACGATGAAATAAAATAAAATTGAATGATTATGGTGACACTAAGGGTGTGTTTGATATGGCTTGGAACTCCATCTTCCAATTTTACCTTGTTTGATAGCATTTTTTTTTCTCTAGGATTGGTTTTCCAACTATCTTGCCACATAAGCCAATTTCCACCTTAATTCTCGGTTACTGTAGCGGCATTTTTTTCAATATATATATTTTTTGACAAAGGAAACAAATTCTAAAAATTATTGTAGAAAATATTTTCTTTTAATTGACAATTTTCATGTACAACAAAGTCAAACGAATACAAAAAAATAGATGATTTTCTTAAAAAAAAATTTGGTGATGGAAACAAATTTTATCCCCAATATCAGTACATTATATCTCTTTAATTGACAATTTTCATGTAAAATAAAGCCAAATAAATACCAAAAAATACTTTTATTTCAACATTTTTTATGTGGAAAATTATACCAATCAAACACAATAATTTACAATTTTCATGAAAATAATTTTTAGGTAATTCAATTTTCTAGAATTCGTTTTCTAGGCAATTCAATTCCATCTTTGCAATCAAACAATCCCTAAGAGTGTGTTTGATTGTCATAGAAAATATCACCTAGAAAAAAAAATGTTTTCCTTGTTTTGAGGAAAACAAAATCCACCTTCGCCCAAGGAAAATATTTTTCATGGAAAAAAATAGCAATCAAACACCCCAAATAGAAATTTGGGTGAAAAAATGATATTTTTCATGAAAAATAAATGTAATCAAATACACCCTAAGTGTAAAGTTGAGCACCCATGATGAAACAAAAATCAAATTGAGTGATCATGACGACATTAAGTATAAAATTCGGTAGTCATTGGTGGATTTAACCCTGATACTAGTGTTTGGCTATGTAATGCATGGCTATTGCATGTCTTGAATTTTCTTGGAGGTGATATTAGTGTGGTAACTTACTTGAGTATTGAGTATTCACGAGAGAGAATTACATTGAATGAATTTTGGGAAGTGAAGAAAGTATTAAGTTGATTTTCTTCGACAAATAGAAAAAAATAATACATTTTCAGAGAGAATTTCTTTACTCTCTTTCTCCCTTTCACATGAGAAATAGAAAAATGAGCTTTCTTCAGAAGGAAAATATATTAAAGCAATCTTTCTAAAAAAAGAGAGAAAAAAAAATAAATATGACATGTAAAGTATCTGTATTCTATTCATCATCACCCATGAAATATGAACTATAAAGCAAACATAGCCAACACTATATTTTTATTTTCACATATGAGAAATAGGGAAGAAGGGAAAACAAAGAATTGAGCATTTGTAATAGAAGAGTGTAAAAGAAGTGACAATTGAAGCAATAACTGAACAATCTATATTTTCAATCCTTTATACTCAGCAATTAATTCGAGTAAACCACAACATCCACGATCCATAGACTGAATGTTTTACATATATAGTATTCAAACAATCAGTAATTCTAAAAAAGACCGATTGAAATAGATGTTGCCAACTTTTAATATCTGGTCCATTTGATTCGGGAGGTAAAATCAATGGAACTTCTTTGCAGTGACGTTGATGAAAAATAATCCTTCATGCTGATGTCCTTCTGTTTCGCTTCAAAATTTTTATAATGTCTATTACTTTGCTTCTTCCCATCTAATAAGCTAAAACCATGTGGTGTTGTTGCATAAGTAATGGTAATTTTTGTTTATTAAAAAACATTCACGAGCTAGAAACAAGTATGAAAGTCCAACCTTTTCATGGTTCCAACGCTGAATGAAGTGCTGGGCAATGTCTCTACAAGATGATCCTTAAAGAGTACAACGAACATTATGTCATGGTATATGAGGATATTTCTTTTAATTGAATTCATCTTTCACAGCATTTTCCGAAGAATTTGCTTCCGGTTCTGTATAAAATTTAAAGGAGTTAATACATATATCAAACACACTGGAGTGCTCTAGATATCTTCTACCTATCGAGATGAAAATCAAGCCTCAATCAAAAATATTGATTAATATTATTGGCTTTTAGTTACTTACCTAGTAGGTCTATTTCTGGGACGATGCTATGATATCTCTATTTAGGATATGTTTTATATTCACTATTGAAATTTATAACATATGGTTCAAGAATCACTAAATTGAAAACAAATGTAGTATTGTGATTAAATCCATTAACCAACTGAGGTTTGACTACCGAGATGTTGAGATAAAATATTTCATATATTCCAATTGATTGAACTTTGTTATTAATTCCAAGTTTCAATAGTTTCCTATAATCTTACACATCTTAATGAAAAAAAAAATATGTACTTTATAGTAGTTTTTTCCAGGCTATAGAAAAGGAGGGAAATCACCTACTCTGTGCTCAGTTGTGTCATATTGGCCAAAACATAAATCTAGTCATTCAATAAAGCATACGTTGTAATCCACAATGATAAGCTTTCCATGGTTTGACCTACATGTAGCAAATATTTTATAGTTAGTAATTCAAATAAAAAATAAGTACACAAAAATTTTAAATGTGTACATAAATAGGAATCTCCACTTAATCCCAAATGAATTTTCTTTGAGTTCATGAATAGCGTACCACAGGTCAAGTCCAGTTGAGAAATGTTTAGGATATCGCAAAACTTAACATTTTCGTGAATGTGAAAAAGCATTCTCTTACTATATGAGTTGTAAATTTTTGAAGCAAGAGAAACTTTCTTGGTTATGCTATTTTGGGCTTTGCTATAACCAATGAAGAATTGTCTTGATTATATGGATTATAGCTATGAGAAATGACTAATAATAATTTTTATTGCAGTTGGATTAATTCAAATTACACATTCTTGAAGAACAAAGCTACTGTTATTCTAGATGATGAAGTTCTTTGTAAATTTTTTTTTTAAAGCATTATACATTGAATAATATTTATTAGTTGCTGCTCTCATGACAAGCCACTTCATACGATGCAAAATTACGAGTTGCACAATGTCCTTCACAATAGAGTCTATCTTTTTGGGTAGTTTCCCTCCCCTGCACTTAAGCAAAACAAATTATGAGAAATAAGCTTTAGTACATTATTGCAGCATTATTCGAAAACAGAACTTTAAAGGAGAAAAATAATTAACACACTCAGTTTTCATTCATTAGTCACATTCTTCATCATATTTTCCTCTGCTTCCATGAACTTCTTTTGAGCATTTTTTATCACACTTTGAGCCTCAGCCAGTTGAGTCTTTACTGTAACTTTTGCATCAGCCAATTTTGCACGCATTTCATCAAATGAATTTTCAATCTACCTAAGTTCATCAGATTAGAAACTATGACAATGATCTTATAACATCATAAAAATAAAAGGAAAATCTTACAAAATAATACATTTTTAGCAAATTCTAGCTCAATTCCAATAGCCTTTTTCAGATTATCTTCCTGCATGGAGGGTAAGCTACTATCAATATTTCAAACGACTTCTTGCCATCTGCTAAAACGGATGCATGAGCAGTTTTTCAAGCTTAAACTTCAATTCGACAGCAGTTTTAGCTTGTTCGTAGATGGAAACCGACTCATTTTCTAGAATGAGAAAGCCTATGTGTTGTTGATGGTTATATGGCTACAAATAAAAAATAATAACTTATATAATGAAATCATAATCTCAACAACAAACATGTAAGATATAAATAACGTGCACAGAGACTTACCATATTTTCTAAGTGAATAAATTCCTTAGCATTGATCATGCCCCAGTTTCCATAAACGAGCTCTTTTATTAGCTTAAATAAGTGAACAGCATGAAAATGAAAATATAACAAAACTCCTACTATTGTTCTCTCCAGTAATAGTGACATAAAAATGCTACGTAGTGATTAGTTAGCTGCATTCTAGAACTAACCTCGTGACTAAATAAAAATTTTTATTACATGAATAGTATGATTCACATATCTATGACAATTACTAAAATTTTATGAGAAGATTACCTCAAGAACCTGAATTGTCACCATTGCCATCAACGTTTACTTTATGATGTTTAGCTTGCTCGAGTAATTACTGCACCCACTTAGTAGGATAGATCAAACAAAAATAAAATAACTCTTTCACTTGTCGTTAAAGGAAAGAAATCTAAATGAAAACCATAAATTTTATGAAAGATCATAGTAAAATTGCAAGGCAGAAATGGCTTGTATAGTCAATCTCAAATGGACATTAACACCTATTTATTCCTCTTTAATCTATTCAAAGGGAAACATTTTCCCGAGAGAAAATAAAATATTATTTAAATTGCAAAATCAAAAATTTATAATTAATCATTTAACATTTCCTTTTATAGCTGCAAAAAAAAATATAATAATAATAGTAGTAGTAGTAATTATTTACGATTAAATTAATTTTCAATTAAATAAATTCTAAGTATTTCTTCAATTAAGAAATAAATGAAAACAAAATTAACGAAGCAATCTAACCTTTGAGCCACTCCACGACAATTCTGCCTTAAGCATTCTTTTCACTAATCAACAATTTTGACAGAGAAAGAGACATCGTTTCTTGTCTATGGTAACTCGTCCCAAGTGAGGACTGCAGAAATTCCTGAGTGATCAGATTTTAATTCTGGCAGCATTTCTTTCCTCCAAATCCTTCCTCTCTTTTAAACTCATCACTCCCAACATTTTCACCATTCATTTTCTTATCATTCTGGTTATACTGCTACTGGTGATGATGTACAGCGCTAACGGCATCATGTTTTGGCCATCCTGATTGCCCAATCGGCCAAGTTAACGGTGAACAACTAACAAGGACTATGATAAACGATTTAGAACTCTTATAGTAAACAGAGAAATTTTTTGTTTTTAAGCAAAGATAAAAAAATAATTAACGCAATTAGTGATAAGGACAAAGAACTTCAATGTTGTCTGACAACAATATAAAAGCAGGAGGAGCTTCTTAAATCTGGAATTTACAAAGCACTGAAGCAACAAGAAATGACTGATTTGGATTTTGGGCTTGAATTGAACTGCCTGCATCTTATGAATAACCCTTCCCGTCAAACAAAGGTTGAAACATCTTTAGTAAATTTAGTTGCAACTGTAAAAGCACAAAAAAATAAAAATAAAAAATAAACAAACATTTAAAACCTTTTACAAACTGAAGGGAAAAAAAAGAAAGCGAAAAATAGAAGAAATCTAGCATCATCACCATCAACTTTGTAAAAGAAACAAAATGGTTACACAACCTTCATCCAAATCGAGATCCAGCTAGGAAATATGACAAAGCATTGCTTCCTCGGATGTCTTAGTTGATCTCTCTATGTCAGTGTCTTCAATTTGAAGAACAAATTTGCCACCTTTGGACCTGGCCGAGGACATCTTGCAGCTGAGCTTTATCGTAGAGTTAAAATAATAAAAGTGTTAATTAATGTAATAGGTAAATGTGTAATGGGAAAAGTGAAAAAAGCATAACAAGCGATTTAATAGATTTACCAACCTTATTGAGAAATTATTGATGCTAACCGTCATCAAAATACAATAATTTGCTCCTTTATAAAATATGATTTCAACACTTTGAAATCTCATGTGTTAAGTAGTGTCTCATATTTGTTATCGAACAATCTACATTTATTTTCATGTACAGAAATATTTAAAGTAAACAATTTTAAAGTTATGAATATAAGATTATACATTGAATATTGATAAAGGAATCTTACTGTAGTTTGATAATTTGTTAGAATTAGGATAAATGGGGACGTAAAAAATATTCATTTAGACAGATATTTGTTGCGATTTTTTGTCTGTATAAACTTATCTTCTTTGGTGAAACTGATTCTAATGGATATCCAAAAACGAAGCATTCTATATATTTAAAAAGGAAAACTCCAGAATTTGGCCTATGGAAAAAATAGTTTGAAGTTAGATTATACTAATACTGTAAATATAAAATAAAATTAAATATTATAGTAAATTGTGGAGATGCTTACCCATTTTTTTGACACAGTAGATATGATATGATTTCCAATTTCATACTTTTATTTATATGTTTTCTCAAACTTGGTTTGGTGGAGAAAATGTCTGTAGAGATTAATAATGATTCTACTTCAGTCAATACCGGTTCTGCATGTGCTTTGATTTCTTCCGATGTATAAATGTTGTGGCTGCAATCATATATATGAAATTTCCACTTTCGAAAATCAACAAGAAAAAGAAACCAAGTGTTGCTTGGATATACTGATGGAATTAATAAACAGTTGTATGTTATCCACGGTCGAGCAGATACATGCAATTTTCCTTTTATGTATCGTTGTAATGCGTTGAAATTAGTTGCAGAATGACCAATTCATTCTTTCATATTTGTATACCAATGAACACATTCAGTTTCAAATCTAAGGTCCATGATTGCATATTCTTTAGAAAGCAAGGGAGAATCGGCAGTAATAAGCATTCTCAATAGCTTTAATTGTATATCAATATGCTAGTAAAAAAAATGTAAATTAGATATATGAATAATGGAGAAAAATGAATTATGATTATTAAATTTTACTTACCACAATATTTATATTTTGCGTTTCATCTAGTATATTTTCTAACGATTGTCTTCCATATAGATTGCCGATTCCATCGTTCCAATATGCGATGTATAAGAGAATTTAAATTAGTGTTAAACGAGTAAAATACAAATTATAATATTTAAGTTAACAATCCAAAATTAAATATCTTACCCCGATGGATTTTGTAATATCCATTCTTTAATTTTTTTGTACTTGTCGATGTTATAGTCTTCTAAAGTATTAGTTGACGTTGTTGATGAAGATTGTGTCTGTTTTTACTTACATTTTTTTTCTTTCACCGATCATTCCATGTCTTCAATATGTTCAAATGTTGAAGGGATTTCGAAGTCAATTGGACTTGTACGAGGAGGTATATCTCGTTGTATAGAGCTAACAATCGTTTCCATGTGTGATTTCCAGTCCGATAACTGATTCTGCATACTTTGATTTTGTCCATCAATGTAAGATTTGGTTGAATTGAAGCTGGTATCCACATAAGACTGCATGCTGGATTGCATGCTATGGAATTAGTCTTGTTGGCTTTTTTGCTGATGTTCAAAGAATTGTTTTTGATTGTCAATAATCATTTGATAGTGAGCTTCTTGCTTTTCAAAAATTGTATGATAGCGAGTTTCTTGTTTTGTTGATTCTTCAATCATTTGTGTTTTTAATCCGTCATAGAAACTAAATACATCTGACACCACTTGTTGTCTATATATGTTGAACATCTGATCCATATCTTGTTTAGTTATATAGTACTATTTTGGGCTTCCATTTATGCATTCGTGGAGACTGGAACCGTGTACGGATACGACGTCTGAATTGTCGTCCAATTTGAGGGAAAACTTCATATATTCAATACTGAAATAAAAATAAAAGAAATATTAAAGTTTTTATATGATTAAATTATATGTAAAAGGGAAAAAATAAAAGAAAAATACCTTGAATGCAAGTGGATAACCATGTAACGAATATTTACAATCTGTTTCGTCATTTTGTTGCATCCTTCTTATTCTTTCAAGGTGTGATTCTTGTAATGAATTTAATAAAACAAAGTACGTTTTTCCTCCCCACGGATACATAAGAAATTCATCAAGTTGTTCAACCATTCCAAGAGTTCTGAAATCGATGAGCCTTTTATTTGGTTTTAAAACGCATTCGACTAACATAACTAATCATAACTTGAATTTATCTTCTTGATCTTTACACATATGACATACTTCAGAAAGTCTTTTCATAGTAATTCTTTTTGAACCATTGAAGTACTAATCCCTAAGGCGAGTATTATTGAAATTGAGATCAACGGCTACTTCATGACATGGTAATCCGGTGATCAGACAAAATCTTGCATGCCAAAATGGGCCACATGACCGTCTGATCGTACCCAAACTTCATTATTTTTGCCGCAGTTGATAATTCTCATTATGAACTCGTGTATTAATTTGCTACTAAATTTTTCATTTTGTTTTTTATACATACTTCCATAGATAAATCAGTGAAAGTGACTGCATAATAAAGAAACTTGATCATCTCCATCTATAAGTTCTACAAAATCTTTAAGGTACTGATGATTTGCAAATTGAATAATGGTAGCAGAGAACCATTGATTTTGAGATAATATGTATTCTAACGACATCTACAAAAATTATTAAAAAATTATATATATATATATATATATATATATATATATATAAATTTAACGTACTTTTTGTACATGGAAATAAAGAGGTATTTGATAGGAA